CTCGTATCTTAGTTTATGACAAATATAAAGTAAGAATGTAGCTTCCGTTTTTTTGTTTAGTTTTAATTTAACACTGAAGCCAAAAATGAAAAAAACACAAACCAACGCATCATATGCCACAGACGTCAGCAGTTTCTCCGCTGTTCAGGAATCAACAACGGAAATTGGTGGATTTGAAACTTTTGATGCAACCAATGTGTGTATTAAGGGGAATTTTGAACGTAACAATCAGCTGTCAAGCAGATTGGAGATTAATGATTATTCAGACTTTGCGGAGTTCGTTCCAGATATATGTGACAAATGCTACCATCTTCCTCACCTCAAATTTGCACAGCAAATGTTAAGTCATGCTACGCAGTAAAATATACTGCATTATGTACAATAAAAGAACTTAACTGGTGGGCGTTGCGACTACGAATGTTGTAGAATTACACGTGTTTGTACCTCAGATTTCTTACACTTATAAAGATATGTAGCCACTGACTTTAGCACAACGGAACGAAGACAGCGTTTCGATATTATAAGCAAATTACTTAATTATACTGTGGAAAGTGACATCCTTTACATCGTTACTTACCTCCCGAAATTTCCGTAAGTTGTGCCGATAATGAAGTACATTATCACTGTATACAGGGCCTGAAATTACGATAAATATTGTCGTATGGTAAAACAGATTGGGATAATCCGCATGTTATTATATGGTTTCATGTTGTAGTTTTAGGTTGTATAATTTAATCAGTTTTTAACATGTAACGATTGTTTTTCAGAAACTTTTTATAAAACAGTTTCCACGATGGCGATGCCCTATTTTTGATACATCGATAGTCGTCCCTTGACTGAGAATGACTCCAATGTGCGTGTGCATTTGTCAATTTCCGTTTGCCACGAATATAGGCGTTTCTAAACGTATCAGATGATGATGAATGCGGTTTTCGGACAACATTCGTCACCGACTGTCGGATATAATCATTGATTGATCTTTGTTTTCTTATGATCTTGGCTGTTGTCTCATGAATTCTTATTTGCGTGAGACATGCAGAAAAAGCGGAGGACCTTGTTGATTGACAGTTAAATACTAATTGTTGCTCGCACCATACTATCTTGTTATTCTTTCGTTGCTGACCAGACTTAGGCTGGTAGATCTTGCATTTAGCGTAATTTCCTGGTTGTTTGGTCAGAGATGTCTTAAAGTGATTAGTTGACTTTTAGTGAAGAGGCAGCTGCTGTCATCCCGTCATCCTAAGTTTAACAAGGTTAGCCTATTATGAATCTCTAACGGTTATCAATGCACGTTGTAGGAGTCATTTGATATATATCTTTAAGTGATGTATATCTTTAAGCCATTAAAATAAGTTAAGAAGGAAAATACT